TTTGGTTCCGACCACAGTTGTTCCCAAGAGTTGGATTATTGTGGTTGCTGGATTTTCAATTATTGAAAATCGCGACGACGTGGGGCCCCCTAATCACACGGGCCCGTCCGCTACGCCACTGTATGTATGTAAATATATATATATATATATATATATATATATATATATATATATATATATATATATATATATATATATATATATATATACATACATACATACATACAAGCATACATATTTGAATGTTAGTTAAAATGTGTCATTTTTATATGTATTTTGCACATTTTTATCAGTGTTCTTTATATTTGTCTATGTGTATTAGTTGTTGCAGGTCCTCAGGTTATTAAACTAAATAAAAACTATTTAAGTTAAATGCTTAAATTCTTAATCAATCTATCTGTTTGTTTATTTAATTAGCTATCTACATTATTCTTCAATGTATTTGATTTTAGTATGCCCTTATAAACTTACCTGAAATATAAAGATTTTGATGGCTTGATAGTTGTTGCAGAAGTACTTTGATGTACAATAATTATTTAATTTATCCGCGTATTTGTTCATTTATTTGACACAAGTCATGATAGCAAACAGCAGCAGGATCAAATTCATTTCAAAACAAAACCACCATGCGAGCCTTGTTTTTCTGCCTATTCTAAAAGCCATTATGTGAGTGTTCGTGAGCTGTGTGTATGAAATGAGGCATTTCCCGTGCATCTTTCCCATGACGGCTCCCATATTCAGTAACACGTGTCTGCCTTTAGGCCAAATATCCCAGCATTAGCATTGTGCTTTCTGTCCCTTATGTAACCCTTTACTACACTAGTTATGTTTTCATGCTAAGATGAGAATTAGACTTTTTTATAAAAAATTATTTTGCTATTTTTTTTTTTTTTTTGCAAAACTAGAATATCACATTAAACATTTTTAATATCCTTTCCATTTAATCGAGTCAAAGAGAACAAAATCCAACCCAGGCTCATTGTTGATATGTACCCAGATCTACATTCTTGAGGAAACTAAAGTATGTAACCGGAGGTATCTCTCTGCTCTCAGTTTTTGTTTTTGCTAATCCACCAGAGGCCGTCTTGTATGCTTTTTGATGATCTTAAATTTCTCTCGCTCGTCCCTTTTCCTTGTAAATCCACCATAGATACTTCAGCCAATCAGGGGTGCGTATCCCAAAACTATCGTTAGCCAACTAAGGTCGCAAGTTCCGTTGTTACAAACATAGTTCGTTGATTTAGTGTTTCCCAAATTCATCGTTCCAACGAACATTCGCAAACTACGTCGCAAGCTTGTGCACTTGCAACTACACCTCTGGAGCTGTAGTTAGAAGCATAGTTCCTGGCTGTGTTCTATTTACAGTTATCCCCCCTATGCCCTATTCATTTAGAACATTCTAACATTTACACATGTAATTATTTTTTCAAAAAGCATTAAGGTCATCTCTCTTAGATGTAATTTGCTTTCTAAGTATTTTTACAGTTCAGTTTTAGCGATCTTCATGTTTACAATTGCGCTTCCTTCGCAGTGCACTTTGAAAACATTGATGTCATTTTGAACACAGCCGTGTCTTATGACGAAAAATATAGGTGCCCTATTATTTTAAAGTGGAATCTGTCACATCTCCAAAGCTTATTAAAACAAAAAAAAAACAGCATGCATTAATGCTTTTAATTTATAGCAGGTTATTTATAAAGTATCTGTACTGTGTATGATTTGGGGCTGTTTCTGCAGTGGTTTGCCTGTTTAAAATTGTGAAAGTAAACTTTAAAAAAAAAAAAATAAATAAGTAAACAACATTTATTCATTCATTTTCTTGTCGGCTTAGTCCTTTTATTACTCCTGGGTCACTACAGTGGAATGAACCACCAACTTATCCAGCATGTTTTTTTTTTTTTTTTACGCAGCGGATGCCCTTCCAGCCGCAACCCATATCTGGGAACCATCCACACGCACTCATTCACACACACATTCATACACTACGGACAATTTAGCTTACCCAATTCACCTGTATCGCATGTCTTTGGACTGTGTGGGAAACCGGAGCACCCAGAGGAAACCCCCGTGAAAGCAGTGAGAACATGCAAACTCCACACAGAAACGGCAACTGAGCCGAGGCTAGAACAAGCGACCCAGCGACCTTCTTGCTGTGAGGCGACAGCACTACCTACTAAACCAACTTATCCAGCTTATTAACAATATCCTACTTAATAATAATCATCATCATCATCATCATCAATATTATTATTAAAGTATTTTTCCTAATAAATAATAAATATTAAATTTTATTGCTTAATAAATAGCCTCAATATTTATTTATTTATTTATATGATTTATATATGAGATTAGAATACGTGTTAGCTTTTGTAAGTGATTTTATGTTCATTTAGAATAGACTTTGGAATATTCTCAATAATACTTGTAAAGGAATAACAGGTCCTGTATGTGCCATTTACATATATTTTAATTAATATGGAAAGCGAGTGCATGGCTGTTTCTCAATATCAAGTGCGCAAAGTTCAGACTTGCATACATTGGAAGTTCAGACTTGACAGAACAAACTACCAAGAACTCGAGGACACAAGTCGGGTACTTTTTTAAATGTAATGGCAGTGTACTTTATAACGTCACCTCACAATGGATTCATTGGTTTTACTGTACATGAATAATAAATTGATTTAATTATATAAAGCACTTTCCCAGAGATGGGTTGCAGCTGTAAGGGCATCCGCTGCGTAAAAACTTGCTGGATAAGTTGGTGGTTTATTCCGCTGTGGCAACCCCGGATTAATACAGGGACTAAGCCGACAAGAAAAGGAATATATAAAGCACGACCCTGTAATTAATATCATATTAATATTATAAACCTACATTTTTGATTTAAGAAAATATAAACAAATCCATGTAAATGTGAAGTAAAATGTGTTATTATACACAGACACGTGTCATTGTTTATCAGATTTAATAAACTACAATAGTAATCACACAAGAATATACACAATAAAAAATAAAGATTACGTCAAACAATTTGGTAAACAAAGAGAAACCTCACGGTAACATAATTAAAGACAATTATAAAAGGTAACAAAATAATACTGCCAAAATAATACACCAGAGAACAAATAATAGATTTATAAGACCAAAAACTGTCCGTTAGATTTACACAAGATGAATTAAATATGATGTTTTAACTACAATGGAGTGATGAGATCCACAGATGGACTGGCCGAAGTAAAGCTGCTCTCGGAGGGGGAGGTGATGACGGAGCTCCCGCTGGCAGGCTGGGAGTCAGAGTCCGCAAAAGCTGAGGCACATCGTCATGTTTGTGAATAAACTGCCGATTCGAGTTTAAAACAACTACATTCTCGCCTGAAAAACTGTTAAAACTTTTTTTTGACACAGTAAAGGAGTATTTTTAAAACCGTGCGGGTTTTCTCCTCCACAATTAGCGATTGCTGGTTTAGCTGCAGTGCATTCTGGGATACCTGAGCTTCGCAAGTTCGCACAAGTCACCTCTCAATGCATCTTGGCCAAAGGGGCAGAGCAAGTACACATCCGTAAATTTTATCTGTACTTGGCAAGATGTGAACTTTGAATTGGAACAGTACTTTGGCGACAGTTGATGACGTTTCACAAGGACACAAGAACCCAAGTACAGACAAGAATGCAAAAGTTAAAGATAAATATTTTCTAATAAATCTGTTTATTTTACTAGCAAATTTTTTTATACATAAATGCAAATTTTTGTCTGTAAAGCCCCTTTTTCTTATTTTTTGTAAAGATTTGAAATATTATTCAAATACAATCTCTACCTCCAGCAATGTTAAAGCTTTAAAATCCGTAACACTATGTGAATCTTACAATATTCTCTCTTTTTTATAATAGATGACTGTATTGTATGTGATCTTGTAAACATCACTGTGACCTTGCTTTAAATTTAAAGTGCTTTTTGTAATTTATATTCCCCCTGGCATATTCTTTAGTTTGTCATTTTGTTTTGTTCTGTTCTCTACCCTTGTTGTTAAAGGTTTTGTACCTTTTCTGTATATTTTTGTATTCTTGTTGAACGCTTTAATAAAAAAAAAAAAAAAAAAAAAAAAAAACAGACAAGAATGCATATTGAGAAACAGCCCATGTTTTTGTTTTTACCAAAACTAATATTGGATTTTTGGGGTGTGTGTGCGTGTAAAACAATATAATATAACAATAACAATATAATTAGCAATTTCAAAAATAAAATAGAGTTTTCTGCATTAGGATAAGATAGTTGTGGGCCTTTTTTCTTTTATGATAAATGACTTGCAGCTTAGAAGACGAAATACAATTAACGTGCGGTTGTATTTGGAGGCACGGGACCAGCCCTGTGCAGAGACTATCCAAGGGGCATGTGCAGGATAAAATGTTTTGAAGAGCGATGGTGGGTGGTGGGGGGTGGCTGCGGTACTTCAGATCATTTTGGAAGAGCACTTTCTATCCAAGATTAAAAAGGGCATGTGCACTGCACAGGTTGAGCTCTATGTGCGCACGTGCCTGCATGAGACGCTCTTTGGGAGCGCAGACAGATGCTCAAGACAGTTTTGAAGAGAATAATAATAATACTGCACCACTGGGGTGACAGACTTTGGCTGAGGGATTTTGGAAACGACATTTCAGATGTTTTAAAATGTGCTCGCTCTGCTAATTTGTCTAGTCATGCCATCTTCACACTTTTATCCACACAAACTGTTAAAACTAAATCTGGTAATACTAAATCACATGACTTTTTTTTAATGCTCGTGCTGAAATTGATGTGTTCATACAGTAATTTATGCACATTGTCTTCTTAGGAGATAAAAGGTTTATTCCACTCGTACAGGTTTTAGGTGTATTTTCAAAATGTATGTGCATCTTGGCATTTCCGTTTCATGCAGTATTCCAAAATGTTCTTAAAATTAGGTGGACGGAAACATACTATAGCTACTGACATTTATTACCGTATGTCTCTTTATTTCCTCCAGCTCAGTCCTCTTGTCCTCCTCTGGTGGCCCCAGCCAACGGGAGGAAGTTCGGCTCCAAGTATCTGCTGGGTCATGAAGTGCATTTTACGTGTTCGCAGGGCTTCCGTCTGGTGGGGCCGGTGACACGCGTGTGCCAGGAGAACGGCACCTGGAGTGGAGCCACTGCCAGCTGTAAAGGTCAGAAATCTTAAGAGTTAAAATCTACACTACATGACAAAATCTTGTAGCCTAAACAAGTTTTAGAAGCAGTAAATAATAACTCGACTTCTAGTTGATCATTTGGTATTAGAAGTGGCTTACAGTATATGCAAGGCAAAGGCCTCTAGATACAATATTGGTATACACACAACATGATTTCATTTTTTTAATTTTTTTTTTTTTTATTGAGATATTCATTGCATTGCATTGCACAGCATTACAGCAAAGATTACAACATCTCTAGTTTTTTTTTTTTTTTGCAAAAAAAAATTCAACAAATTAAATAACACACATATTAAAAATAAATAAATAAATAAATAAATAAATAAATAAGGGCGAAGAAGTGGCGCAGTAGGTAGTGCTGTCACCACACAGCAAGAAGGTCGCTGGTTCGAGCCTCGTTTCTTTGTGAAGTTTGCATGTTCTCCCTGCGTTCGCGTGGGTTTCCTCTGGGTGCTCTGGTTTTCCCCACAGTCCAAAGACGTGTGGTACAGGTGAATTGGGTAGGCTAAATTGTCCATAGTGTGTGTGTGGATGTTTCCCAGAGATGGGTTGTGGCTGGAAGGGCATCCGCTGCGTAAAAACTTGCTGGATAAGTTGGCGATTCATTCCGCTGTGGCGACCCCGGATTAATAAAGGGACTAAGCCGACAAGAAAATGAATGAATGAATAAATAAATAAAAAATAAGTAATTTGTATAAACCCAGAATATAATTTTCAAAAAATACAAAATGTCTAAGCCCTAAAACCCACTCCAGCCCTGAGACTAAAGCTTATGATGTTCTGTTGGTGTGATTTTCACCATCTGGGTTTTTAACCTACGCTTCCAAGAGGAGGAGACCAAATCTTGTCAATTTTTTTCAATTTCTTTGCCATTAGAAATCTGATCCTTTCCAAATATGCTAATTTAGTTAATTCGTCCAGCCAAGATTTAAATGATGGTGATTCTGTTGATTTCCAAAACCTTAGCACCAGCTTCTTTGCCACAATAATGCTGTTAGACAGCAGTTTTAATGAGAATCCTGGAGTGATCTTGTTTTGTCTGAAATTCCGAATATGACCAAAAGTGGATCGAAAACTAATTCACAATGTCAAATTTTAGATAGTTTTAAATATTTCAGCCCAGAATGGGATCAGTTTAGAACACAGAGCATAACTATGTAAGGGAGTGGCTAAGTCTTGCATTTATCACAGAAGGGAGAGGTATCAGGAAAAGGTGTAATTTTACCTTGGTATAATGGAGCCGGTATATAATTTTAAACTGAATGAGACGGTGTCTGGAGTTAACAGAACAAGAATGGATTCCCTCTAACGCATCAGCCCACAGCTCCAGACTTATCTTATCTCCCAGTTCCTGCTCCCATTGGGATTTTAGGCTCTCCATAAGAGGCAATTTCTTTGATAACAGTGAGTTGTAAATGACTGAGATTGCATGGCAGACCTCACCTCCAAACCCTAATAGGTCATTCAGTCCAACTTGATTGACCCCCTTTAAACAGGGTACATATTTTCTTTACATAATCCCTAATCTGCAAATATCTGAAGAAATGACACAACATGATCTCTAAATTATGATCAGAGAAATCATGATCAGTTCAGTTTATGAAATCTCCACATTCAGACACAATTTTCATTCATTCATTCAAACAATCATTTAATCATGCGTATGTAACGGAGGCCAGCTAGTAAGTGCTGTGCAGGTAAACCTCACTCCTCTGACCTCTACAGGTGCTCTAGCGACAGATGCTAGAGGCCATGGTCTTTAGCCTCCTTGGAAGAGCAACCGACTCCCATACGGAAAGTTGCCGGTTCGATTCTAGCTCAGAGCGGGTTGGGTGGCGTAGGACTGGCGGGGTTACACTCAGTCCCTTTATTCATCAGGGGTTGCACAGCAAAATGAACCGCCAACTTATCCAGCACATGTTTTACACAGCGGATGCCCTTTCAGCCGCAACCCAGTACTGGGAAATTTCCACACACTCTCACATTCACACACATACACTATGGGCAATTTAGTTTATCCAATTCACCTATAGCGCATGTGTTAGGACTGTGGGGGAAACCAGAGCACCCAGAGGAAACTTACGCCAACACAAGGAGAACATGCAAACTCCACACAGAGCTGCCAACTGACCCAGCCGGGACTTGAACCAGCGACCTTCTTGCCCAGAAACAATTTTAATATATATGTATATATATATATATATATATATATATATATATATATATATATATATATATATATATATATATATATATATATATATATATATATATATACCTGTGTTTGTGTGTGTGTGTGTGTGTGTGTGTGTTTGTGTGTGTATCCTCCTGAGACCCGAAGACATTTATTTTATTTATTTTTTTCTGTGATTTTTTATATCCTTTGGGCTTAAAAAAAAATCTACAATTTAGAGTTTTACATTTTGTTTTTATTTTTAATTTTACAGCATGTCCACTGCAGTGGACCACAGGACCATTTTAGTTCGAAACGACGCCACTCAGACAACAAAATTGTACAGGATATAGCTGTAAAGGGATATTAATCTAATAGTAATGTAACAAAAACAAAACAAAAGCCATTTTTGCTTTTGTATTAAAATTCCTGAAACAGTTTAGTCTGAAAGAGAGCCGAACTAAAAAACAAAAAAAGTGATGTTAATCCAAAACAAATTTAACATAAAAGTGATTTAAAACTGATTGTCATTCTCTAAATGTCAGACGCTAAGTCAGAGTCTCCCTCAACTATCTTATGAAGAATCCTCTCTACTTCAGTTCTGCCCCCTACAACAGGCAGTCATTAATTACATTAAGATGGTCCTGGTGTCCACTATAGTGGACATTTAAAAAATGATGTCATTTTAAAACACAAACAAGTTAACAGCTTTGAAAGCTAAATGTATTGTTCCTTACACTTTAAAAACACATATATGTAATAATAATAGTAAAAAAAATATTTAAAAAGCTAAATTTTACATACCTCTATCCTTCCCATAAATGTGCTTTTTTGTATTACGGCCATTTTGGATGCAGTGTAAAGAAGTGGTTTCTAGCATGCCAGCCAATCAAATGACATATCACTAAAAAGCCCAGGATGCCCTCTAATCAGTACAACAGGACTTGACAGAGAAGCTCAAAAAAAAAAAAAAAAAAAATTTTATTAATGAAAACGCAATGTCCACTATAGAGGACACAAGTCAATGGGCGGGGTCTCAGGAGGATATATATATATATATATATATATATATATATATATATATATATATATATATATATATATATATATATATATATATATATATATATTTTTTTTTTTTTTTTTTTTTTTTACAGTGTCATGTTCAGCTCAGACCTGAAGCCTGTAATAAGACAGCAGATTCAGGAATGCGAGTACAGGTGTTTTGCAGCGTTTCGGGACATTTAATGCTTGTTTAGCTGGAGCTTCATTCAGTGCGGCTCAGAAATGAAGAATGGCCTCTTTCACGCCGCTGTGTAAGTCGTTCACAGTCACTTTCTTTCAGCAGCTCTGATATCTCTCTAGTGTCTCTATCTCTCAATGAGATTTCAATCAAACTCCAGGAATTCTGCTCAATAACACAGATAGAGTTACATGGCGGCACATAGCAGGGAATCTGTGGGGTGTACTGTAAGATGATGATGATACATGACACTTTTTAATCCAAGTAATACCTCGAAATAATACTTTGTTGCTGGGGTTTACAAAAAAAAAAAAAAAATATATATATATATATATATATATATATATATATATATATATATATATATATATATATATATATATATATATATATATATATATATATATATATTTTTTTTTTTAATTAGTAATATATTTATTTATTTATTTATATTTATATAAATACATACACACACACACATATATGTGTGTGTATGAACGGTTCAGATGCAAAACCCTCTAAATCCATCAGACCTCTTTTCTTGTAAATGAGCGTTTTCTATCAGGCTCCTATAATTAGGTTTAGAAGTTTCATTTTATGTGTAATGATAAGGTTATTAGCTAGTAAATAAAATACCTTTTTGTGTCACTTTAGACAATTCTTTGGTTTTTAACAGGGTAAATTTTCTTTTGCGTCAAAACCAGCGAAATCAACAACTGCTTTTTATTATTATTATTATTTTAAAAAAAAAAAACCTCTAAATCCACCTATTGGGACAATACAGTGTAATTACTTGAAAATGAAGATGCCGTTAGAAATAATTTTACCAAACAAAAACACATTAGACAAACCACCTGAAATAAAAAATACATCTCTCAAGTAGGTGGCGGTTCATTCCTCTGTGATAAACCAGGGAAAAAGCAGAAAGAAAATGAATGAAATCTTGTCAAGTAAATGAATTAATCAATAACATTAAAATTAATTAAATCTGAAAAATCTGTTGTCTATTTTTGATATTTGGGATTTAGATTTAATGAATTTCTCCTTGTCTCATACCATTGTTATCAAAACTTATCTTTCAGATATTTTTGTTTTGTTTTATTTTTATGTTTGTATAATTTGGGTATTTACCAAAATCTAGTTCAGTTAAAAAAAACACCTCACATGTTCAATACTCATTTTCCCTGCTGTATATAAAATTCCCAGACTTGAAGAAATTTACTGATAATCCAGAAATTCCATTTGACCTTTGGGAGCCCTGCTTAAACTAGAGTGCAACCCAAACCTTGTATAAAATGACAGTGTGTTAGACTGCTCGTCTGTGTGTGTGTGTGTTCAGAGTTTCTCATTAAGCAGCTTCAGGTCCGACAGCACAACTATGTAAAGCATGCTATTGATGATCTGCTTTAATACGGCGGAGCGGCACATTCCAGTGGGTACAGTGAGCCAGAGCGCAGTCAACGGGCCGAGTGTTTGAGTGAAGGCCAGAACACACACCGTAATGTCTACAGTCCTGCTATTTCCAGAGTCCTGCTTCCGAAAGTGCCCTGGAAAAACATC